CTGGGCGCTTCCCCTCCCTGGCACCAGCTGCGCTGGGGAAGCGCCGGCTGGGGGCGCAGGGTCTGGGGGCTGCCCGGGAAACCATGATGCTGGTAGCACTGGGGCCCTTTCCCCCTGGCTGGGAGTGGGAGGGAGGAGGGGGCGGAGTTAGGGTGGGGGAAGGGGCGGGGCTAGGGGTGGGGAAATGGGCGGGGCCATGGCCCGTGGAGGGTCCTCTTTTTTTATTTATGAGATATGGTAACCCTATCAAAGGGAGCCCAGCCAGCTCTCTCCTCCTCTCCAGGAGGAGCTTCTACCCCATGTGGGGTTCCTGGGAACAATGGGTGAGGGGGAGCCTGGCCCAGCTCTCACCCCCTCCCCACCTGCTCAGGTAGCTCCCAGTGCTGGGTGTGCTGCTGTGGCAGGTGAGCCCAGCACTTTGACTGTTGTTTTGTCACACTACAGAGTTTCCCTGAGGCTCACATGCAAGGTGGGAAATGGAACTCTTCCAATGTTCCCATCTCAGCAAAACCTGGATGAAATTTCATAGACAAAAGAAAATATTTATCCAAGGGCTCCCCTTGCCCCTTATTTCAAAGGCCTGCTTTGAACAAGGGAAGTGTGAGAGCTCCTCAAATATACCACGAGACTCTTTTACAGTGGAAGCGTTAGGGACCCTAAACATAGGAGTTGCTGCCAGCTGCCCTATAAGTAGTTTGTAAAGCAATAGGATATTTATTACACTTATTGAAGTGGTTTGTGTCATTACCCTAACGGACCACTAGATGGCGCTGCAATGCAGGAAGCTGCTGAGAGAGAAGGAGCTCAGGTTACCTGCTGAGTTGTTGTGAGATGATTCACACACAAATTGTTTCAAGTGGAAATGGAAATCTTTTAGGCCAGTGCTGCAGTTGCATTGATGGATGATTCTCTCCCGGGTACTGTTGTTCTCCCGTGAATTCAGAGATCCTTTGAGCTGAAAGACTTCAGAACAGCACGAGCATGAGCATGAACAGCAACTACTACGTAGGGATTAGCAAACTGGGAATGAGGGTGCGTTCAAGTCATTACATACTGTCGCTATCAAATTCAGAATCGGGGCAGAGAGACAGAACATGACAGAGAAAAAGAGAGAAAATCTTTTTTTTTTTAACACATTGTAAGGTATCTTCCAGTTTTCCCTGCACAGTGAAATTGTGAGAGCGGGATCACATGGTGCTCATGTATCAAGCTCTAACACCACCTTGTTTATGGAATATTTTTCCCTTTGAGGTGCTAATGAAGTGTCCAGGATATTATTCACAAGAGCGTTGGAATCCGAAATGTTGGGGGAGAGGAAATTTCAGGGATTTTGCACGAATTAATTTTGAACTGCTTACCCCAAACGCCCATCGCTATCACAGCTCCCACCAGGATGAGGACCCCAGCTGCTCCAAGGCCTGCGGCAAGCCGATACCAGCGGGGACACTGAGGGTGATCTGGAAGAAGCAGTGTTTAGTGAAACACGTTCAGCACATAGTGCAAGAACTAATAACGGACGTTCCTGTGGAGCCTGTGCAGCATCCTCCAATGGGGGTTATGTTCCTCCTCACATAATACCAGGAATAGTTTTAAATGTCTCAGTTAAGGGCCACGTCACTCTGAGGGCACCTCTGTGACGAAACAGAGCAAAATACTGCAAACGTGAAGACGAAACTAACAAATCCCAACTGTCAATTATTTAACAACACGGTTCTAGCCCACTGACAATGGTGCATATTTGATCATGCTATAGGGTGAGTCTGTGCGTCAGCCCCCTCAGGCCTTTTGTTGACCCAGACAGTGGTTCTTAACCTTTCTGGGGTCAGGACACATTTGTAAACCTCGATGGCCTGTCACGACCTAGTAAATAGCATTAGTGCAAAACACACATGCCTTAAATATCGTACCCACGTCATATTATATACACATTAGTGTACCAAGTACTAAATAGTAACCCATACATACCAGAGCAGCAGCGTCTGTGGCTCCTGTCTCGGGGCTGGCTGGGCTCGGCTCCCCACTCTGGGTGTTGTGGCTTCCAAGGTCACAGTGCTGCTCAGTTTTGATCTGGCCTCCCTGATGGGGGGCAGCTGGGCCAAATTTGTGTGAGTGGCATTGTGCCCTGGCACACAGGCTTGGAGTGCCACTCACGCAAATTTGGCCTCATCAGCCCTGTCATCATGACAGAGGAGAGGCTGGGCCAAGCCTGAGTGGTGCTGTGCCTCTGTGCAGCAGGTCACAACGCCTGGAGCAGCTCGCTGAGCCCATCCAGCCTTGTAGACCTCCACGTCCTTCCCCCACTTTCTGCAAAGAGGAGTTACCCGTGTTCATTCTGTTACCACCTCTGTTCAAGGACAGCCAGGTGATTTGTATATAAACACGTTCCACTAAGAAAATAGCTTGAGACCAGATCACTAATTTCACCTCCAATGGGAAACTGACCTGCCAGGCCCAAAGTCTGCTAACTCTTGGCTAAACAGCAACAATATCAAGGAAGTCAGAGTCACTGGATCAATACCAACTAGTTGCACATTTCCATAGTGACAGAACAGCTGAATATAACCAGAGGGTCACACACTTCATAGCGTCTGTCAGCCGAGCTCATTGCACACGCCAGGGGCTCCTTCCATCCCTGCATTCCCCCCACAAGCTCCCTGGGTTCCCCCTTCCACCTCCCTGCACTGCAGGGATTCCCTGCAACTCCTTCAATCGCCCCCTGCCAGGAGATCTGTGCCCTCCATTCCCCCATCTCCCATACCAGTGTCCCCTTTTCTTTCCCCCATGCTGTCCCCCTTCCACACCAGGGTCCCCCATTCCCCCCATGTCAGCAGTTCTGTGTTCCCCTCATTCCTCCCTCCTCCCCATTCCAGGTCCCCCATTCTCCCCTCATGACAGGGATGCTATGTGCACCCGCATGCCCCCTTCCTCCTACTTCCATCCATGCCACGGGCTCTGTCCTCCTTCCACTTCCCCACTTCTCCACTCATGTTCCCCCAATCTCCCACCTCTGCCAGGGGTTCTGTGTGCACCCCCTTTCCCTCTCCTCCCACACCAGCAACCCCCATTTCCCTCCATGTAGGACTCTACATGTGCCACCATTTCCCCCCTTTCCCACATTCTCCCCTCTATGGCAGGGGCTCGGTCTGCACCCCGTCCCCCCTGTGCCCCATACAAAAGTCTCCCATTTTCCTCCCATGCCAGAAGCTGTGTGCACCTGTCCTTCCCCCATGCCTCTCCATTGTTCCCTTCACACTCCCCTCCAACCATCATTATCTCTCTTCTGTCTAGGGTTGCCAAAATTATATTTAAAAAATAAGGCACTGTTTTTGTAGCACCTCTGCCCCACCCCTCCTCCCAATATTATCATTATCATTATTATTATTATTAATAAACAACAACAACTATAATCAGCACTCAACCGCATTCACCAGGGGTTTTTCTTGCTGCTTTTTGCAGCACTCAGCAACTCCTGATCTTGTTGTACAGAGCTGAAAAAATAAGGGATGTCCCTTGTCATAAGGCCTTGTTCTCTCTGTCTGGGCCATGAGTCATGCAGAGATCAGCATGCTGAATTCCATTGGGAGGATGGGCAGAACTTAGAGGTATTATGCGGAGAGGTGTTAATGGTGCCATGTCATCAACCAGTTCTTTGATCTATAGACAATTGCAAAAATGCTAGAGGCTGCGGCTGTGCTAAAGAGATGATAGGGGCTCCATGTCCCCGATTTTTCCCCTCCTTCCCCGTATGGTTTATCGATTTTGCCCAAACGTAATAGGGTTCTGCACACTGATGTCTAGCCATTCCCTGAACTATTAGAATTGATTGGCTGGGGCTGTGGCACTGACAGCTTGCCAGTTCAGGGCAGGACCTCGAAGATTGTTACTGTGTGTAAGGCCTTGGCTACACTCGGGACTTCTCAGCGCTGCCGCGGTGTATGTACTCCACCTCTCCGAGGGGAGTAGCTTGCAGCGCTGCGAGCGAGCGTGTAGTACTGCAGGCTCTGATTACACTGGCGCGTTACAGCGTTGCACTCGCTGCACTCAGGGGGTGTTTTTTCACACCCCTGACCACAGCAAGTTGCAGCACTATACAGCGCCAGTGTAGCCAAGGCCTAAGTAACAAAAGAATGTTAATTGTGCTCGTAAACATTGGCCCATTCACTTGTGTTAGTAAGAATCAAGAGTAGATGCAAACTGCATTTGTCTGTAGTTACCTCCGTCCTGTTAGATGTAACCAAATTTAAGCTTGTAGTAGCTAAATCTTTTTCATGTCTCTTTACATTAGGTATGTGTCCTGTGCTCAGTCAACCTTAAGATCAAAGATGTGTGTATACTGCATGAAACTAATAATGTTACCTGTATGGTCTTCAATTACCTGTCCCTGTTGCAATGGCTGGCCAGTAATTACATTATGTAAATCAATGTAACGGGATTATTTATGCATGCAAGGAAAATAGAGGGTTAACTTCAAAGCAAGGGTCCCTGGTTTAATAATAGTGGTTCACAAACTGTCTGTGTTGCCTAGTCTTCATCTGAGGAAAACTCTTGCTGGGACAGTTTCTGTGAACAGGCCTGTCAGCCTGCCTGAGAGCTAGAAATACTGGACCTTGGGCATGGCCCTGCTGCTATCTCTGATCTGCTGAGCTCTGGAGCAGGGGGAGCTTAAGCTATTCGACTGAGATCCCCAGCGGGATGCCCTGAAAGATTCCTGAAAGGTCTCTAAGAGACTGATAGAGGATTAGCTGACATTATACCTCTGCTAACAACTGGACTCATATATTCTGATGCAACAGTAATGTATCTTATCTGCTTTAACTTTTACCAACTCTCTTTTCTTTTTTATTAATAAATCTTTTGTTAGTTTGCTAAGGATTGGCTACCAGCATTGTATTTTGGTAAAATCTCAAGCATCCTGTTACTTGGGGTAAGTGATCCTTTGGGACTGGAAGAACCCAATGTATGTGATTTTTGGTTTTAATAATCTTTTATCATAAAGTCCAGTTTGCCTGGGTGGTAAACGGGCTGGAGAGCCTAAAGGGACTGTCTGTGGCTTCATGATAACTAATATAGTAATTTAGAAGCACACACTTGTCACTGGATTGGTTAAATCTTAATATAGAATGTACCACCAGGCTGGGGTACTTGCCCTGTAGTTTGGCAGTCTGGGCTGAGCTGTGTCCCTTACCAGGCGGTGTGACAGTGGCACTCTACAGTTATTGTGTTACAGACAGACAGAAAAATGCCACCTAGTTGAGCGTAAGGCCTTGCCAGCTTGGCCAATTACAGTACAACATTAATTTGTTCCATATGCCCCATGTAACAGCATAGTTGGGATATTAATGTTTATTTAGCAACTGCAATGTTAATAGAATAAAAATAGAGGCTGACAACATAATCATCTAAAATTTCTTCACCTATCTCAGTAATCTCATTGTACCTATACAAGTTACACTCTAAAGATATCGGTTTTGTAAAATAACTTGTATAGTTACATTTCAAACACAACCAGTCATTTTCAAGGGAATTCTTTTAAAAAAAAAAGTGTCCATCCTTTGTTAAAATTTAATTCATGATTTCTTATTTCCTCATTTTAGAAATACTGACACATATTCACTACCCCTCCCACCCCCGTCTCCTCTCATCCTTACCACTGACCCTGTTTGTTCTAAGTCACAACCTCCCAAACTTTGACTGACCACAAATACAGAGTCATATAGCTTCTCTCTGCACTCAGGAAATGTGAACACCTCATCCCTGTCCATTTCAGAATCCAGGAGAAGATATCGCTTTGTGCCTTCATCATTCCCCCTGGACCAGGCTTCCCGCATTTCCTCCTTTTCTCCAGTCGCCTTTTCCTGTATTTCTCAGATAATAGACTTTATTCTTGTCTGCACAGACACTAGTAGGCTCGTCCCTCTCCACACTTCGCCCATCGAGTGGCACAGGCTCCACAACCCTCTGCACTGAATTGGCTCCCCAACTATTTTCAGATCCCATCATTCCTCCTTGGACTGTGAGACTCCCACACCTCTCCTAATAGAACAATGAAGTCCTGCCAGATCCCTTCTGCCCAGACATTCCTCTCAAGACGCACCAAATTTACTGGCTCTTACAATATATACTTAGGGCAAGTCAAATGGTAACTGCAATAGTTCATTTGCATCCTCCAACCAGGTTTATGAAATATATGAAATATATGATTTATTTGTATTGTGGTCGCACCCAAAAGTTCCAGTCTGGAGCAGTCACCTATACGCTTACTTAGGCCAGATCTACACTAGGAAATTGGGTCGGTATAACTATGTCGCTCAGGGGAGTGAAAAATCAACACCCCGCGTGATGCAGTTACACCAACCTAAGCCCTGGTACAGACTGTGCTGTGTTGCTGGCAGGGCTTTCTGCCACTGACATAGCTACTGCCTCTCGGGGAGGTGGAGCACGTACACTGATGGGAGAA